TTCCTGTCAAAATGAAAGGAGTGTCTCGTCTAGAATCCCTTTTGTGGGCCAAACGGAAGCTGTAGGCAACCTAATAGTTGTTCTTTTTTGAGAGAGTGGAAGTGGCAAGGAGGGGTAGGACTTAAGGCTCTTAAGCTATGGTCTTATGAAATTGATGGGTGTAGCTACAAATGCCAATTCCACAACTTGCTTTCTGGTTTACTCCTTGTCTCCTAATGCAAGGGCTCCCTCTGCAGGCTCCAACAACCCTCGGATTCTGCATGGGAAGCTAAGTCCAGCTATGCAAGTGCCTGTTGCAATTCTTTTTACTTGTGAGTGTTGGCTGTACCCACTGACAACAAAACTGAAATGTCATGGTAAATACACTCCTTCGGTTCCATGGGTGCTGCACTGTGGTGTAACTGCTGCTATTAAGTGTGAAGTGAGTCCTAACAACACTCCTCTTATACACATCCACCTAGCTGTGTGTTGTAGCCTAGCATGGGCACGCGGCACACAGAACAAACGGCAGGATGCATTTTAAAGACCCCACGTAGTAGAAAGACACACCTCTGTGGACTCACACAGCCCATTAAATGCCTGATATTCCCATCAATTGAAAAGTATGGTACATATATATACCAAGGAATGACCCTGGTCCTATGTTGCTGACCAACTCTAACATCTGCAGTTTGTGTTTCAATTTGATTTAAGGTCTATCAGTCTCATAAAAGCCTCTTTTAGATTATGTTCACATAAAGATTCAAAAGAATACTTTGATAGATAAAACAGCGATATGTCAACAATTATATGAATAAGAATGGACTTGTTCAAGGTAAACATTTCAGTACCACATATAACATGGGACCACACCCTTATAAAGCTCATTTGCCAAAATTCAAGTATAAAAAGGGCAATAATGTGCCCACAGGGTCAGCTATGCTATTGCATTCAGCCCCAGACATTTTAAAATATATTTTATTGATTTTTTTACGGAGAGGAAGGGAGAGAGATGGAGAGTTAGAAACATTAATGAGAGAGAAACATCGACCAGCTGCCTACTGCACATCTCCTACTGGGGATGTGACCTCAACCAAGGTACATGCTCTTAACCGGTTGAACCTGGGAACTTTCAGTCCGCAGGCCGACGCTCTATCCACTGAGCCAAACCGGTTAGGGCCAGCCCCAGGCATTTTTAAATGGTGAGGGTTATGGGGAACTAAATAAGAGAACAAAAGAATAACAATAATAAACTTGATGAGAGTGGCCTAAGGTAAACTCACAACTTCAACTATTTTTCCCACTTGGTTTCCCATCTGGGATGTGTGTGTGTGTGTGTGTGTGTGTGTGTGTGTTTATGTGTGTGTTAGTATGATAAATACAATTTGAGACAGCAGTGTTTACTAAAATCCATCACAAGAAAAGTATCATGAACTAAATAGAGTGTCAAATTCTTTCCTAAAAGAAATACTACTTTATTAACAATCTCCATCTGCCTTCTTCCTCTTCCTCTTTGCCCACCTTTCTATCTTTAAAATCTTATTTTCTTCTCCTGGTTAGGGATGAACATCACAGTAACCTTTTCTTACCCTCACTGGTGAGATATTTATGTGGTATTATTCATGGATTTTATAAAGATATTATCAAAAACATTATGAAAATTATTAAGCACATACAAAAGCAGAAACACTAGTAAATTCTCATTTACCTATCACACTTCTTCAACAATTACCAACCTCTGGTCAACCTTTATCTGTATCCCCCATTCTGTGCAGGAGGCAGCTGGTAGATGTTTCTCTCTCATTAATGTTTCTAACTCTCCATCCCTCTCCCTTCCTCTCCGTAAATCCCAGCAAATCCCAGACATCACCCATATAGAGCTTTAGCATTTGTCTCCCTAATATAAGAGCTATTTAAAAACAAACCAACAACACATTACTGCTATACCATTAGCAAAACTAAAAAATATTAATAGCAATTACATAGTATCACCCAATTTCTAACATTAAACTTTCCCAGTTTGTCTTATAAATTTATGATAGTTTTTTTTGTTTGAATTGGAATCCAAACAATGTCCACACATTACATTTGAATTTGCATCTCTTTTTAAAATCAAAGGTTACATATCTTTCATTTTTTCTTTTCACTTTCTTAGTGGATGGTGTCTTTGTCCTTGAGGATTTTGCTGATGGTATCCTTATGGTGTTGTTCAACATGTTTCTCCATCCTCTCTTGCTTTTGTTTGTTTGTTTGTTTTTGGTAGTTAGATTTAGACACCTGCCAGAATCAGATTCAGCTTTCCCTTAGCTAGAATATGTCATAGGTGGGGCCATATAGTCCCATTGTATCACATCAGGTGTCTAATCTCATCATGGAAGCATAGAGAAACATGAAAGAGGAATTCATTGTATCTGGGTGGGGTTGAGAGTGACCAGGCAAAGAAGACCATTATTTTTTGACAAAACATTTAATGATTATGGATAAAATCTACTTAACTATGTTTACTACTTTACTTAATTGTGCTCTGTTTTGCCAGAGGGACTCTAATGTAGCAAGTGTGTGAATCAGTCAGGTGTAGTTGGAGACCTTCACTGGGTGAATTTATAGATGCTCCCTTTAAAGGTACTTCAGAGGTACTCCAGAAAAGAGAGATGATAGAAATGTAGGTAAGACAAGACAAGACATAAAATGTATGTATTGTATTCTTGGAACTCTTGATGATCAGAGTGATCATTTAAGTGAGGAGAAACTTGGGGCCACTCAAATGTGGGAGTCAGGAGAGAGGTATCTATCTATATATAAAAGGCTAATATGCTAAGTGTCCGACTGTCCGACCAGTTGCTATGACACTCACTGACTACCAGGGGCAGACGCTCAACACTAGAGCTGCCCCCCGGTGGTCAACCTCCCTCGGCCCCTCCCCCCAACCAACCTCCTGCAGCTCTGGTTGCTGGCCAGGCTGAGGGACCCACCCGTGTATAAATTCGTGCACCAGGCCTCTAGTTAAAGAGATAATTAGTACCAATGGTCTCAAAAGCAGTTAAGTAGTAACAGAAAGAGATAGAGACTGGAGACCAGAATCATGAAAGTGGTATGGAAGCAAAAGGAAAATATGTAATATAAAAATAGAGATGAAAAGAATCAAGTCAGTAATAAAGTATCATTTAAAGTTTTCCTCACTCTTTTAAGGCTTGTTTCCTCTAGAAGGATTTTAAGGCTTGTAAGTAAAAAGTAAAGGATAAGCTGTTTTTCTAAATAAACAATTTCATCATTTCTTAAAATCTATGAATTTTGCACTGTTGAAAGCTATAAAGTATTTAGCTCCTAACAGGACATGGACAAAACAAGACCCAGAGCAAAGCGCTTGGGAGATCTAGGTTCAAAGCCTGGCTCTGGTCCTTTTTTTAAAAAAACAAAAATAACTTTATTGACACATTTAATATATCATAGAATTTATTTCTAGTGTACAATTCAATGACTGTTTAGCAAATTTAGCAAGTTCTACAGCCATTACCATAAATCAGTTTTTGAACATTTTCTTCTCTTGAGTGAGATCCCTCATGCCCATTTATAGTTAATCCTATCCCTGGCCCTAGGCAACCACTGATTTATTGTCTCTATAGATTTGTCTTTTCTGGACATTTTACATAAATGAAATCAAACAATATGTCTGGCTTCTTTGACTGCAAATAATGTTTTAGGGTTCATCCATGCCAAAGCATGCATCTGTAGCTCATTCTTCTTTATTGCTGAATATCCCACACTTTGTCTATCCATTTACCAGTTGATTGACATTTAGGTTGTTTCCAGTTTGGAACTGTTATGAATAATTCTGCTAAGAGCATTTGTATGTACGTCCTGGTATGGACATATGTTTTCATTTTCCTTGGGTGTTTACCTAGGAGTGAAATTACTAGATCATAAGGTACATTTATGTTGAACTTTTAAAGAAATTGACTGCCAAACTGTTTTCTAAAGTGGCTGTACCAGCAAAATATGAGAGTTCCTATTTTTCCAAATCCTCCTAATTCTGCCTCTTAATAGTTATGCAGCCTTGAGCAAACTTTGGTTTCCTCTTTAGCAAAATGAGTGGCATAGAATGTTAACATTTGCTAAGTGCCTACTCTATGCTAGACTCTGTGATAGGAGCACTCACATTCTTAGTCTCACCTCATTTTCCTCCCCATGAAATGTAGAGATGATTTTCTGTGTATCTGCGTATCTGACTGAGGCCCAGAGGAGGTAGGTAAGTTAGTCATCATTGTGATACACGATGGTTGAAATACTAAATTATATCAAATAACATATATGAAGAGGCCTAGTAAAGTGTTAGGCACATAGAAGGTGGCTAATGAAGAGATTTTTATTTCTCTGCTTCTTCCCATCATCATTCACGTCTCTGATAAGTCTAACCACAGGACCTGACTTACCCTAACCAGGTCTCACCATCTTTCTGATGATAGTCGCCTGTTATGAACCTGTCACTCTTTGGAGAATCTGAAAAGCCTTTATAGAATTTATCCGGCAGTCACAGCCTCCCTAGAGGCAGAAGCATCACAGAGCCAATTCCAACCCAAATAGCATAATCTTTGCTGTGCAAATGAGAGCAACTAGTTTAGGATGGGTTATGTCTTCTCACGATTGCTTTTATTTGTGTCTCTTTTCACAATGGAAGTAAATTTTTTCCGAATCCCAGAGAAGGGGGTTCTGGGGAAAAAGTATATATTAAGGTTGCCAAGCAGTTAATTGACTTGATTGCTTTGAAATGGACCCTGTTGGCTTGAAGATTGAATAAAGAGCAATAAGAAATGAAATCAAAGGGAGATAACACTCCCTTTGTCTAGTTTAAGAAAGTGATGTGGGTTAAATGGACTCAATAATTTAGACAAATTCAAGGGTGTGGAATTTTAAAATATGTATTTTTTGAATATGAAAATTTATGTGATGTATAGTTATTATTTTAACTATACAGCATAAAGTGTTTTTAAATACCAGTAACTTGTCATTCATTGTCTTTTCAGGGAGATCCAGGCGTCAGAGGACCTCCGGGCCCCGCTGGGCCTCGGGGCTTAGGAACCCAAGGGCCCAAGGTGAGTCGTCAGGTCTGCGCTCTGTGTGAGGGTCAGGTACCGTTAATGGCAACCGAGTGAACATTAACTTAAGAGTAAGTGCTCATCTTGGGGTTTGCTCATTTTTTCTTGATTATTGATGAAAAGTCTTCTTTTCGCATATCATGTGAACTTTCAGTAAATAGAACATTTAAGTTCATAAAGCTATTCTCTTCCCCCAAAGAAATTAGTAAGCCAGGCTCTCTTAAGAAAGTGGGTGCAAAGTCCTCAAAATATTTCTAGGCTCGTTGGAGGCTGTGCCATCATTCAGAAGCACATCTTTACTTTGGCCAGAGGTGCTTCAGGTGGCCTTTTAACAGGACGCCAGCCAATGTATCTATTGTGCATATGTGTGTAGGACACTGTCAGAACCTCAGTGCAAGGGTCTAGGTTTACTGTCTCCATGGAAGGTAACAGAAACTTCCTTTGGCTCCCTTTGCTCTCATTTCTATTTCTCTTCCTTTTGCCACCTTCAATTTGGTGATCATTCATCTGTTTATTCTTTTAATCCAGTGTTTCTCAAGGAGAGAGATTTTGTCCTCCCCTCTGCACCACAGGGGGACATTTGGAATCATTGGGGGGCGGGGGGGGGGGGTCACAACCGGAGGAGGATTGTTATTGGCATCTAGTGGGTAGAGGACAGAGATGCTGCTAAATGTGCAGTGCACAAGACAGCCTCTCATAATAAAGAATTATCCAGCTCAAAATGTCAATAGTGCTCATTCATTTGCTCAACAAATGTTATTTATTTATTCAAAAAGTGAGGTAGAGAATGAGCAGGCATGTTTATAGGGAAAACAGGTATCAGTAAGCCACCCAGCAGAAATTCAGATTTCAAATAGATGTATCTATGCCCAAAATGCAAGGAAGTGAATTAGAATTCTATTATCAGAGAGAAAAGTGGAGAGGCTTTATGAATCAAAGTTACTAAGGATCTCAGAATTACTAAGATTCTTTATCCTTTTTTTTTCTTGTCCATCAACTACATTTGGGCAGTGGGCTATTTTTAACCTCATAGTTCACTTTATGTGGGTGGAGATTGCATCCAAGATGTCAGCTATTGTTATTGGGTCTATTTTTTTCTTCAGTGTCATCTTTCTGTTTAAATTTTCTTTTCTTTTTTTTTTTTGCAATGAGCTGGTATTCCTCTTATAATCAGAAAAAATATAGCTTTTTTTTCATACTGGAAAGAAAAAGTCTGACTTATACAGTAACTTACATTAACCTGGCATTTCTACAAAGCTTATTCCATCAAATAATAATTTGGGAACTTCTGGTATAGTTAAACTAATCTCTCTATTGTGGGACTTCTTAGTGTCTTTAATATTTTAATATGTGGTAGAGATCTCCAAGGAGAGGCACATACCATGGTGTAGAACATTTTCCAATCTCAGTTGGCCACAGAAATTTTTCCTTAAGAAATAGGGGGTCCACTTATATTATAAGGAATACACACTGGGAAATCATGCATTTTTTTGCTTCATTTACATATTATCTCAAAAATTCAACACTGATCACATTAATATCCACTGATTCTTTACCTAAACCCTGGTGAATGAGCATTCCATATTGAAATGGAGCAGGAGATGGCAAGGCTACACAGAACAGTGTGTGTGAGTGGTCCTCTCAGCCCTGGTGTCTAGGGGTTGGGGGTAGGGCAGCTAAAGGAGCCCACGCTGACGAAGCTACAGGGCCAGCACTTCTGCTTACACCAAGCAGCTCTGTCTTAAGTCTTCATTTGTATTTGGATTATATGTACGATTTTTGCAAAGGATTCTGTGGCTTAAAAGGGTTAGAAAATCACTGCTATATATAGAACATGATATAGCTTATGGGCAGCATGGATGAAGGTCCTGATCAGACTGAAGTAAGAACAGAGCCAAGAGTAATAATACATTGTTTCTCCCTGAATCTTCTTACACTTGTCTGATTTCTCTCCAACAGGGTGATATTGGGCAGAAAGGTTTGCCTGGCCCTCCCGGCCCCCCGGGCTATGGATTACAAGGAATTAAAGTAAGTGAACCTGATTGCACTGGAGTCCCATCTCAGTCTACTAAGGTGATGGAGAAAAGACACTGTGGACAATATAAAATATGACTGTTATGAAATGAAGTTAATATAAGCTTAGACATTAAAATTGGATATAGTAGTTAAAGACACCATCCAGCCATGTAAAAATGGCGTTTAAGTGCATTGTTTCATGAGTGCGAACCGTAACATAAAGTGCTTGGTGAAAAATTTAACTGCTGCGGTGACTGGTTGTGCTGCTGCTGTGGCATCCCTGGTCCTAGGAAACCCTGAACACATGACGGGTCCACTCCCTTCCGCACCGCAGCAGCCTCTGGTCATTCCTGTGCAGTCCCCGCTGTGGCCTGCTGGCCCTGTGCTGCAGGGGCGCTCCAGCTCCCAAAGGTCTCAGAGCTTTTTCTCAACCGCAAATGTCTATTGATTGTATGGATTGATGGAGGGCTGTGGCTCTTTGGTCTCAAAAGGGCCTTGGTATTTTAGATTCACAGCAGAGGTCAGGGGGTTATATGATGCCACAATCTTGGTCCCATGTGAGCCTGCAGAACTGACCTTTTCCCTAGATATGGACTCTAGATATGCCAGTACTTCCCCAGGTTAAGTCATAAGGGACAAGAGATGGGGCTGGGTCTTGAGAGAAGTCCTTAATATGCCCATTAGTCCTTGAGGGGCCAGGCCTTTACAGGGGCCAGGAGGAATCTACTGAGAGGGTGGGCCATTCTGGTTAAAAAGCCAAGTATGGGGACAGACAGAAATCTTCATTTCTACTCAGGAATCATTCCAGTTTCCCTCTCCCCCATCTACATATTAAGAACAATATGCTATATATGCCAGGTCCCTTGAAACATATGCTGTGCAGATGTTTCTTTCCTGCAGCGACTGTGTCAAGCAGCAAGAATGGACCGGCTTCCGGCACCCGCGGTGGCCTGCTGGCCCTGCGCTGCAGGGGCGCTCCAGCTCCCAAAGGCCTCAGAGCTTTTTCTCAACCGCAAATGTCTATTGATTGTATGGATTGATGGAGGGCTGTGGCTCTTTGGTCTTAAAAGGGCCTTGGTGTTTTAGATTCACAGCAGAGGTCAGGGGGTTATATGATGCCACGATCTTGGTCCCATGTGAGCCTGCAGAACTGACCTTTTCCCTAGATATGGACTCTAGATATGCCAGTAGTTCCCCAGGTTAAGTCATAAGGGACAAGGGATGGGGCTGGGTCTTGAGAGAAGTCCTTAATATGCCCATTAGTCCTTGAGGGGCCAGGCCTTTATAGGGGCCAGGAGGAATCTACTGAGAGGGTGGGCCATTCTGGTTAAAAAGCCAAGTATGGGGACAGACAGAAATCTTTATTTCTACTCAGGAATCATTCCAGTTTCCCTCTCCCCCATCTTTCAGTTAGTTCCAGTGTTCTTTCTGCCCCAGTTTCCACATCTGAGTAATGGGGATAATGACAGTACTATGGTATTTCCTAAAGTTGATGTGAAGCATAAATGAGACAGTATGTATAATGCACTTAACACAGGCTTGGCACATGGTTGCATATGTAGTAAATGTTGTAGTTACTCACATTGTTACTTTTTCCTGCTTCTCTTCCCTTTCCGCTAGTACTTGTATTTCCCAGGATGAAAGTCCAGAATTCTGACATTCACGTGATTTAATGCTCTAAAACACAAAATATCAGTTGCATGAATTAGTGCAGGCATGGCTTCAGTATCCAAAAAAACCCAACATGTACAATGGCTCCAACACAATAGAGCTTTCTGTTCACATAATAGGCCATGTAGGTGTTCCTGGTTAGTGGTCAATTTTCTTCCACATAAAATTTCAGAGAACCTCATCTTCTATATATGGTTTCTCCATCTGCTGGGCCTACTTACCACTTACTCCCAGCAAGCAGAAAGAGAGAGCGTGCAAGAGGCACACTTGTTTCTTAAACATCTTGGCTAAGAGGTGACAGACATCACCTCTGACCACATTTTAGTGATGGGAACTAGTCTCACGGAAAGGGGGTATCACTCTGTGCCCAGAAAGAAGGGAACCAGAGGTTTGGTGAAGAGCTGGCGTTTACTGCCACAAATAATTTAACCTGTTTAGAGGTAAGATGAAAAAGTTATCTGTTGTTCTGAAGTATGTTGGTGGTTCCAGAAGAGAATAGGAAACAAGAGGGGTCTCCATGACAACTTCCAAGGTGCCTCGTCACTCTCCCGATAGTAGGGGGCACAGTGACTTGGACTTTAAGAACTGGGGTCAGCTCTATCAGGTCTTTAATCCTATCTTGAAAAGAAAACCTTAGAGCAGTGGTTCCCAAACTTATTTGGCCTACCGAGAAGAGAATAGGAAACAAGAGGGGTCTCCATGACAACTTCCAAGGTGCTTCATCACTCTCCTGATAGTGGGGACACAGTGACTTGGACTTTAAGAACTGGGGTTGGCCCTATCAGGTCTTTAATCCTATCTTGAAAAGAAAACGTTAGAGCCTTGGTATCTTCTTATTCATTTCAACCAGCATCAGGAGCGCCAGTGGGTGATTTAGAAATTGTTTTGAGTAGACGGGCTGAGTACCAGTTAAGTAGCTGGACAAGGCTTGTGGTTGAGTGGGACCAGGACATTTTCCTTTTTGACTATCAAGTCAGGGTCAGAGGATGAGGGACCCTGAAGCCTGGTAGAGAGCTGTGGTTCCAAGGCTGGGGGAGGTGGGCATGGCAGCAGAGGAGGAAGGCAGAGCTGGCGTGAGGAGCCCTGCATAGACTCAAGATAAGGAGGACCCAGCAAGGAGGCTCCTGTGGGGAATAAGGGAGGGTGGGAATCTAAGGGGATTACTTGGGATGCCAGTGTTTGAGACCAGCAGGGGTGTGGTGGTGGGTTTTTAATGAACTTAAAGTTTTATTTTTCAATTACAGTTTACATTCAATATTATTTTGTATTAATTTCAGGTGTTCAGCATGCTGACATTTTAAATTGTTCTGACTTTTTCTCTCCCCTTCCTTCATGTCTTCCTCTCACCCTCGTGCCTACTTCCCACTTACTCATATCTAATAAACATATAACATAAATGTTACATGTTTATTCCTTTTCACTCTTGTAACAGACATTGTCCATATAAAACCAAGTTGAGTGAAGGACTTAGATAAATTCCTCTTAGATTCTGCGACCATCTTGATGGTATTTCCCATGAATTTCACTGTTGAAAATTTATGAAAGGTATTTTATCTTTTCCCACCCATCAATGCTTAGTTAGACATTTCTAGTATACATTTTCTTTCTTCTCCTTTCAGCAAGGGAAGAGATACCTTTACTACTCAGAGCTTTGAGCTCAGGGAAAGAAGTAGGGCCATAATACATTCTCGAAGTTTCATGCATTATCTTCTTCGAGCCTCACCAGCCTGTGGGGTAGGCTCTAGGAAACAGGGCACAGAGCTGTTACATAAGTATCCAGGGTCACTCACAGCTACCTCTCCAGGCAGCCTCCCTGAAGAAATCACATGTTGGGTAGTAAATGTCAGAGAGAAGGAGATGATCAGCTTGACACTTTCAAAAGGAAATGCCACTCAAAATTTTTATTTGCACGTTGGAATTAAAAGTTGGCCCTTCAAGATAAGAGACATATGCAGTGAGGTCTCTTTTCCTGATAATCTAGATTGTTTAAGAGAAAGAAGTATGGAAGAGCACTTCTTTTCCCTTGAGTGCAGTTCTGTCAGAAGGCAGGGTTGGACTTAGCGACCTTTTGAAATCACTTGGGAGGCACAAGACCAGGAATTACAGCCGGATCTGGGCTGGCATGTGGAGCTGGCCTGGGTGAGGCTGAAATCACCCCTTCAATGGCTTATCAGGTCCTTTCTGGTTTGGCTCCTTTGTACTGCAAACCTCTGTGACGAGTCAGTGAGTAGCCAGCCAGCACATCTGTTTTTATTGCTTTTCCAAATACTGTAAGAACTTTACAATTATTGGCTTTTTATTAGTAGTGCCTTTGCTTATCTAGCTCCAGGTGGGAAATGAGGTAAATTACCTGTTCAAGGTCACTCAGAATATCCCTAACGAAGCAAAAGTTATGCAGTTTTCTGGGTATGTTGTGGCTCAAACGGTCAGGCTATGATAAAGATAGCCCAGTATACTTTTTCTTTTATTTTATGAAAAATTCTTAAATCATAAATTTTTCAGAAATGCTTCGCACATTATCAGAGCCCAACCATAGGCCCAAAGTGTGTGCATTCTGCCCTATAGGGAAAAGCCAAACAGTGAGAAGAGCCCAAGTACTGAAATGGAGAGAAACAGGCAGAAAAATTACCTGCCTCTGAGACAGAGAGAGGGAATTAGGAGGAAAAAGAAAGAATAGGAAATGGGTTATGATGACTTTTTTAAAAATGTTGTCATTTATTTTAGAGACAGAGAGAGATAGAAACTTTTGATTTGCTGCCTCCTGCAAGCCCCCTACTGGGGATCTAGCTCACAACCCAGGCATGTGCCCTGACTGGGAATCAAACTGGTGACCTCTTGGTTCATGGGTCGATGTTCAACCACTGAGCCACACCAGCCAGGCATGATGACTTTTTAAAGACACTGTAGTCAGTAATGCTTTTGTTCTTACACTCTTCTATTACCTGAAATTAATGTACTTATTGCCTTTGGTTAAATTTTACCGGTGTTCTACTTCCATCCTTTTATTTCTTAAAAGATTATTTTTCTAAGTATAGAATTCTAGGTACACAGTTTTCCCTTTCAGTACATGGAAGATTTTCCTGTCATTTAGTCTCCATTACTTTTCTTGAGAAGTTGCTATTCCTTTGGTGATAATTTGCCCTTTTCTCTGGTTTTTAATGCTTTCCCTTTTTTAAAATTTTATTTTATTGTTGACAGTATCACAGATGTCTCCCATTTTCTCCCTGTCTGTGTCCATGGGTTATACATATATGCATAAATGTTCTTTGGTTAATCTCTTCCTGCCCCCCCTCGCCCCCCGCCGACCCCCCACTCCTCGCATTGAGATCTGTTATTCTGTT